AGGTAACATCTTCAGTGCTCTGAAGATGCTACCTAGCCAGGTAACGAAATGTTTGCAAGAAAACAACCAAGCTCAGAGAACCCCAAGGACTCCAAAGGGAGTGAGATATTATGAAAAGACAACCAGTGTGTTTAGTGAATTCACAGTTTACAATGAAGGTGGTAGATTGATCATCTATTTGAGCCCACGAAAACAAAACACTCTACTGGAGATATAAAGAGGATATTAATCCTAAGAAGGAAGACAATGAGAAACTTAAGTAATAGCATGAAAGATAAGCATATTTCTACGACAACAAGGATCAGAATTGTCAAAGTCATAGTTTTTACAGTGGGAATATATGACTTTGAAAGTTGGACACTAATAAAAATTTGGAAATGGTACTAAGAGTACCATGGACTGCAAGAAGAGTCAGTCAGTTAGTCCTGGATGAAATAAAGCTGACTGTTCCCTTGAGATAGTGATCAGCAAGTATGATCATGTAAGCAGATGATGGACTAGAAAAAATGACTGTTTGACAAGGTTGAAAGAAGTAGAAGAAGGAAGAATAAGATGGACAGAATCAAGGGGATGACTCCTGGAGGAACTATGAATGGTTAATGGAGTCTAGTTGAGATGGTGAGCATTAGTCTGCCTAGCTGTCAGGGATTGGGCCTGATTTGATAACACTTAGCTTACATGTTTTTGAAAAACAGCTTAATGATGATATTAAATATGATAAACTTAGTCTTAGAATTCATAAAAAATACTGCCAGTAAAAGGATAAATAAAAATAACATATGATGACTGGCTACTTGCATTGCACTAAACCATAATACTTGTTTAATTTCATTTTAGTACAGGTAGTCTTCGCTTAACAACCCTAATTGGGACAGAATTTCCGTTGCTAAGTGATGTGGTTGTTAGGCGAAACATCACATGACTGCATTGCTTAGCAACGGCAGTTTCAATAGTCCTGCTTGCATTCGGTAGGCCAGGACCATGCCATTGTTAAGCCAGGAGCTCACGCTTCTGCCCTGCTGCGCTCGCTTCTGCTTCAACTCCCCCATCTGTCTATCTCCCCCCCATCTCTGCCATTTTGGCCACCCTGCCTCTGCTGCCCTGCTGTCCCCCGCTGACCTTCACGATCATCTTCCTCCTCCTGCTGACAAGACGCAAAGGGGCAGGCTGGGCGTGCCTCATCAGCAGTGGGAGGAAGAAGACAATGAAGGTCAGGGGATAGCAGGGGTACAGGGTGGAGTGTGGGTCAGCAGAGGGCAGGGTGGCCAAAAGGGCAGAGATGGGGGAAGATAGGCAGATGGGAGGAGTTGAAGCACACCCTGCAATTGTAAATGTGGATGGGCTGTCAAGCGCCCGAATGTTGATCATGTAATGGCCGTAACTTCAATGATCAGTTGTAAATACCATTCATTCAGTGTTGTTGTAACTTTGAAAGGTCACTGAGCAAATGGTTGTTAAACAAGGGCTACCTCCATGATGTGAGAAATGTAATCTGTAAAGTATAGTTATAGTATATATTATATACTATATATATAATATATATATATATAATATCTATAATAATATATATTAAATGTGAAGCAGCTCAATAAGCAACATGGCTTTGGTTTGAAAGTAGCCATATTTTAATGTGTATACCTTATAAAAGCATTGTGCTGAGCCAACTAGAAGCATATGCACATTGAAGGAACATCTGTAGCCAAAGTAGCTCAATATTGTGCATGCCTGCTAGTAGTAGTTCTCCCGGGTTTTAATCAAGAGCCCTTCCTATCTCTATCTGAACATGCTACAGATTGTATCAGAGATCTTTTTCATCAAAATATTTGCTCCTGCATTGAGTTATAGCACTTCACTTTATATGTTGGATGAATGGAATTGTATGGCTGGTTCCATAACATATATGATACCTTATGCGCAACTGATTGTTTCACTACTTTAGGTAATTAATAATGAGTTATCTGTTTGGGATAGGTGGAAAGTAAAGAGATCAATCTTCTCCACCCCAAGACGCAAAGATACCTTGGCTGCGTTTTCTCACAGATAAACTGTAGGACACTTATGCAGATAGATAAGATTATTAATTTCCTACTAAAGCTAACTGCCAATTAAGGTTTTTTTTTTAACCCTCCTTGCTTCAAGTTCCTTTTTCTCCCTCTTTAGTAAACCTCTAAAGTAAAAAGTATAGTTTATAAATGTCTAATAGGCTTAAAATTGCATCTTATACAGCATTATTTTAGTATAGTATGTTCTTAAATTCTTTTAAAACTTGTGGGTTTAGTTACTTCTCACCAGTTTCATTTCAGTGGTCTTTAAGCACAACTTTATTTGAGCAAAAGAGTTAATTTGAAAAACTCTAATAACCTTTCAAAGGTTATTTTATTATCCAATTAAGTAATAATCCAATACCAGTTTTTGCTTAGTTATTCTTAAAAGTTAAACTGAATTTTGCTGCCTGTCCAAAAGTGATCAGTGAGGGCATCAAGAATACCTCTTGTATTATTTCAGAACTTGGATACCACAGCTGAATAGATCTTTTTATTAATATATTAAAGTACTTAAGCCAATGTTTCATTTTATCTGTACATTAAGAGAAGTATTTGTTTAACACCTGCTTGAAGAATGGGATTTTGCTTATTTATCCTTTATCCTTTAGTATGTAAAGTGATGAGTGATATGCTCTCAGTCCTTCATAACAGTTTGTTTTATTGTTGCAGGTCATTTTATCAGGGATTATAGGATTAACAATATGGAAGAGACCCATGATACTTTTGGTATGTGTTGGTTAATATGATGATTCTGATTCAAATATTGTATCAGAGAATATCACAATTTTTAAAATTTAATAGCATGACTCTTAAAAAGGAATCTTGGTTTCCTTATATAAATAGATGTATCTGAAGGCCTAACATTTTCTCATTCTTATTGGAAGTATATTTAAACTACATATTATAGTTCTGTGTAACTGATAATAATGCTGTTTCCACATACATGTAGTTTGTCCCAGATTTGAGGAACTGAGTCTGGGAAAGTCGCAATAAATTTAAACTTCTAAGTTAGTATATCTTGTATTTAAGTCAACAGCTGCTTTTTAAACTTTATTTTTGTTAAAATCTGAATTAATGGCTTTGTAGTAAGAGTTTAACAGTAAAATAGTGAAGTAGTTTTCAACTAGCTTTCTTTTTATATAATAAATAATTATTAATTATTAAGTCCTTGATATTTCTTACCTACACAATTTCCAAATGTATCTAAAATCACATCCACATAATTATGAAGAGTTTTTTAGTGTAACTGTTGTTTGGATTCTATGAGGCAGTGATTGTTAAGATGATGATGATTTATTAAACTTGTATGCCGCCCATCTGTCAACAACAATCACAACAATGGGTGGCTCACAACAATCAAATTGCAATAAAATCAATTAAACATGAAAAATAAAGATAAACGATGGCAAGCGCGATGGAGAGGTCTCCCTCTCCCTTGCCGTAGGCGAAGAGCCAGATTTTCATTGCTCTTTTAAACAATAGCAGAGTGGGGGTTATCCGGATCTTGAAGGGAACTTTGTTCCAGAAAGTAAGTGTTGCTACAGAGAAGTTGTACAGTCAGGATCCTGAAAGTTGACATTGTCTAATCAAAGGAACCCGGAGTGTGCCAATTCTGCAGGATTGAATCGGCCAGGCAGATGCTATGGGAGACAGGCAGTCCCTCAAGTAACCAGGCCCTATACCATGTAAGGCTTTATAGGTAACAAGCAGCACCTTGAATTGCAGCTGGAAGCAAACTGGCAGCAGGTGCAGCTCACAAAACAGAGGTGTTACATGGGCATACTGAGGCATACCCATTGACTACTCACACTGCTGTATGCTAGACCAGTTGGAGAGGTGGTCATCAAGGGCTGCTGCATGTAAAGAGCATTGCAGTAGTCAAGCCACAAGGTGACTAGGGCTTGAGTGACTGTCTGAAGGGCCCCCCAATCTAGGAAAGAGTGCAACTGGCCTTCGTAGCCACAGCTGATACCTGCTCTTCAAGCAAGAGCTGCAAGTCTAGGAAGACCCCCCCACCCCAGATTTTGTACCAACCTTGAAGGAGAAAGTGCTACCTCATCCATAGTCAAAGATGGAATCTCCCCAGATATTCCCCAGATTCAAACGACCACAGCCACTTGGTGTTGGTAGGATTCAGTTGGAGACTGTTCCTCCCCAACTAAACCCACATAGCTTCAAGCACTGAGGTGGAACCTTGATAGCCTCACTTGACTGGCCCAGGGTTGAAAGATATAATTCAGTATCATCAGCATATTGATGATACTGAACCCCAAACCAGTGGATGAGCTCACCCAGCAGTTTCATGTGGATATTAAAAAGGAGGGGAGAATAGAACTCTGTGGCCCCCACATGAGAAGCCTAGGGAGTGATCTCTCCCCCCAACCAGCACCGACTGGAACTGGCCTCAGAGAAAGGAAGAGAACCACCGTAAAATGGTGCCCCCAATCCTCAACCCATAGAGCCAGCTCAGAAGGATACTGTAGTCAACAGTATGAAGAGCTGCCGAGAGGTCAAGCAGCACAAGGATGGATGCACCACTACCATTCCTGCTCTATCACAGGTTATTGACAAGCTGTCAGGCCCAGCCCTAGAACAATGGTGAAACAGTCCAGTCGAGTAAAGTTCCTTTATTTGCTTACACCATATAGACAGAATCTTGC